TAAAAAAAACAAACAAAAAACCCCAAAAAAACAAAAACAAACAAACATACACCCCCCAAACACCCCAACAAACAACTCAACAAACAAACAAAACAGCAATGTGAACTCCCTTCCTCCCCTCCCCGTACGCAATGTGTGTACTGTAAGGATAATCCCTTGGGCGGGGGTGCCAGTCTGCTACTCTCCCAGAATTATCTTGGAAACAATTGCCAATTGGATTACTAAAGGACGTAGTCAACCCCGCGGCAAGGCTCACGTCCCTCGTAAATTCTGCCAAGCCCTGGCTAATATCAAATCACTCTACATGTGGACGCCTCATCTATCGACGCATTGCCCTGTACAATATCAGTAAGGTAAGTAGTCATCTAGGACAGGGCTGGCCTGGGACCTTGCTGCAATTCGAGGAATTTGCCAGTCGTCCGGGGTCAAACCAAGGAGGAAGGGCACAAACAACCACGGTCTGCTTTCACCCTAAAATTTCAGTATAATCATAAACTTAAGAAGTTGAAATCCCCGGATAAGGCGTTTTTGAAAGGGATGCAAAGCCTATTTTTGACCCAGTCTAACTTTTTTCTTTCGTCTTTGTTCCAACTAGTATCTGAATGTTAAGTTTCCCCTCAGAATGTCCTCCTAGCTGTGATATTTTTAGTTTGGCACAGAAAAATGCTCAGTCAAAAAATCCCAAAGTAAAATCCAAATTTCTGCTAGAAAAATCTGAGTTTTTGAAAAACAGTTGACGCAAGTTCTAAACACGTGAAAATCTACGAGCAGAAAATGACAATGTGATGCTTACAGTTGGTCTTCCATTGTCACACTCCATTTTTTCATTGCCTTCCAGTAACACCCTCTCAATACTTCCCCGTACCTGAATTAACAAATCTACTTTTTCAAGTTGTCTTTTTCCTCTCCCTAACCATGTACTCATAATTTATTCATCCAATGAAAAGATACCTAAACAATTTTCCTGTTCCTCGAGCTACATGAAAGATAAATACAAACTTTCTTCAAATAAACAACATTTAATAAATATCTCCCTCATCGTAATAGTTACTTCCTTTAATTTCCTTTCAAAAATCGTCCTCAGCATACTGGTTGGTCTTCTGAGGCTTCTCTGTTTTTTTCACTTTAAATTAGTATCGCAAAATATTGTGTGAAGGTTAGGTCCCCTCTTTCCCCCTAAAAAATGCCCTGTTGTAGCCGTGGTGATCTGTTTTGTTTTGATTTAGACACAAAACGATTACTCTGTCAAAAAATCCCAATTGACCTTAATTTAACACATTAGGCTAAAACGGGACCACTCTCCCTTTTTAACCACATCTTGTACCCTATTATGCTGGGATGGACAGTCTTAATTAATCATTCGTCTTTTCCACATTGGAATGATATCCTTTAGGCTTTAATTGTTCAAACCGCTTGCATTCCGTGTTAACAATTTTTGGCGTATTTTATAACTACAAGGTACGACTTAGCCGCTCTCAAATAATCAAGTTCATGAAAATCATGCGTGTGAAGTCATACAAAGTAAGTAAAGTGTTTTCAGTTGTTCTTTGCTAATTTCTTGTAATTAAATCCTCCATGTAAATCAGGTTGATGGTTCATTCAATCCAAGTTTTCTGCATGTATCATGATTACCCTTGCCTTTCTCGACAGGTACTACTAGTTTGGTTTCGAGCTGGGGGGGCCTTCTTATTTCTGCATCATGGCACAATTTTGGAGTGTGCCACAGCAAATAAATTCCCAAAGACAGCAGTGATAAATCCCCATACTTCACAAATATTTATATTTACATCTCTCACAGGTGTTCAGGCTGCACAGAAAGACGATTTTTGACATGTTGTCTTTCATTTTCCTTTCAATTTTTAGTGGGTTGACCCACCGATGAATTTGTGAGAAATTTTCACCCAAAGCATACCGCCCCTAAAATGAAGGAGAGTTCACTGCCGGGAAAGTAGCCATTATGAAAATGCATCCCTCTGCAAAACGGCTAAATAGTGCCACTTTCGGACCCGTGCAACCGAATTGCTCAGAATCGGAAGCCCTGAGTCTGAGCCAGATGTTCACTGCCATAATTTCGTCAATTCCCAGATTCCATGGCTCTACGGACTCTCTGCCCCACCGATATTGTATTTAAATTGCCACGGCCCTGGATTGTCGTGCAATTAATTGGTGATTGACTTCTGCGCAAAACTTCTTGCACAAGTCCTTCTGTGTGTATACGCAGAAAGTTATACGCAGAAAAAGAAATTCCAGCAGATAATTTAATCTTTTGCTTTTCTGCACTGATCCAGAACGATTTCTGAAGGTTAGAAAATACTTTTATTCGGGTTTATAGAGTTGAACTTGAACGAGATGCACTAGCTTTGAGGTGGAGGAAACGCGTAACGACTCGGATGAAGTCTATCTTGGGAGGAGCCAAGAGGACGCGTAGACCGCAGTATACAAGACCACGTGGAGCTGTCGCCTGGAAGTTCGTTGCTTTCAGTCACATGCAATCAAGCACAGTGGAAGTTCTTGGCCCGAGTTCAACCAGGCATCGAAGCTAGCTATCTCTGTACCATAACTTTGGAAGTAAAGCGCACTGTGTTATGAACATGAACGCGTGTAAACGTGTAACAGAAATTACAAGGACACGTGTAATTATACATGTGCACCTCTTTCCCTATCTGTATACATCGATATGATCGACCAAGCATAGAGCAATGCAGCGGCTCATCAAAGCACGGAGAACTAAACATGTTAAAAACATTCCTCCGTGGCAAAAAAAACAGTTCACCACCATCTGCGACCATATGGACTGCGAACTGAACAATTTGGGCCAAACTCAGCTCGTTGGTTAGATTACCTTCAGGTAAGAAAAACTTTTTATCTTATAATATTCCGTGTTCTCATCGCTTGAGTAGCGTGTAACCTTTCACTCAGAAAGGAATAAGAAAGAACCAAAATGTCCATTTTGTAATCCAGATTTGTTCCTCAAACATGTCAACTTCGGTCTAGTTTGTGCCACGGTTTGTCATTTCACCACTGGTCACGTCACCAGCTGTGCCATGGATCATAAATGAACCCATGAAACTGGAGAAATTTAAAATGTTACACGTTACGAGGAAATGTTTTTTCAAAGGTCAGAAAAGGACAAGACAGTGCCTCAGCACGCACTTCTGAAACACTTGAACAATTTAAGATTTGTCACAAAGCGTGTAGGCATAGTGGAAAAAAGAACCTGTATGCGTTTTATTGAAAGGGGTAGCTGATTTATAGCTTTTTAAGACGACGTTTCTTTCAAAGAGAAAGCATGGATTTTACTGTCTCTTCTGAACTTGTGTCAGAAGAAAATGATATTTCTTATCGATTGAACAGGTTTTAAGACTGCATTAACAACGAAATAAATTTTGAAATTGTCAAATAGAGATTGCAAATTAATCAAAACTAAAAAGTAATAAAATACTTTAAAGATGTTGGAAACAGAGGAAGCAGGCGGGAACAAGAAACAGCTTTTTTCTCAACTTAGCCTTGTATTGGATGTCAAAAATGATACAAATGGGAATGTTGGAAATAATAAACACAGAGCTTGTTACAGTGGTTAAGGACATTTACTCTAGGCATGCAGCTAAAGCTTCACACCTTAGTATCCAGCCACATGCATGGTGGGGAGATAAAACAAGTGGTTATACCAGATATTATTACAGTGTTTCCTTTTTAACCCTCCGAATAACTACCATATTGCGTATACGCGCAAGTGGGAGCGTGACTCACTCTTGGTCACAATGTTAATTACGTAATTAGGCACCAAACATAGTATTTTTTTCTGTTTCTGTGACTTCCTTTCTTCAATATTTAGTCAAATAGATACAATTCAAAAGGGTACCCCACCCCCCCAAAAAATCTCACTGCTGTGGACCTGGCCATCTGGGGCCATCCAAAGACCACAATAACAAACCTGGCTTGACTCATTCCCAATGGTCATTTATCTTCCCAGACACTAATCAATTATGTCCTCCCAGATAATCCTAGACGGGTAATAAACCTTGCTCCAGACTGTGTGGAGAGCCAAAAAGCAATCAATCCTGGGCTCTGGCAGTAATCCAGGGCAGTGAAATCACTCCCCAGTGGCCTGCTACAGTGTCACAAGGGGGAGGGGCACTTTTGTACACAAACATATGGGAGTGCTGGGGAGTGGGTATCTTCATGCCAAGTTTGTGGCAATACCACACTGACCTGGTGAGTGAAACCCCCTGTAAAAGGAGTGTCTGGGCCCAACTTACAAAGTCATGAAGTGTGGGCCCTCTGCTGTGTTTGATTTTGTAATGTGATACAAATCACGTGATTATGGCTCAAAGTGAGGCACGCTTGCTGGTTGCAGGGTGGCTGTCATATTTTTGGGTGCAGGAGCGAGGAGGGCCAGTCAGACTAAAAAGAAAAACCTTTGCAGAAAATTGTACAAAGGCTCAACGAGTATCAAATCATTACATGTTAAAAAAGTTTCAACTCACCTTTGTCAGCTTCTGGTTAAGTTACACCACCGTGATGAAACCCAAATTTTAATCCATTTAAATCACAGGATCCACTGAGATCTACTCATAATTTTTACAGTGGAACTTAAAATGCACAAATGTTTCACCTCGGATTTTTCATCCAAGGCAAGGTCTGTTTTAGAAACTCCAGCATTGTTGGCTTGCATGTTATGGAGCCCTGAACTTCGTTAATTTTTCACTGTTTTCATTGGGGGCTTGAATGAGTGTAGAGGTGGTTGTAATTGAGCTAATCCTTTGTTTATGGGCTTAACTGCAAGATCCAATTCACTTTGTAAGCAATCTACACTTTGGCATTGCCTATTATAGGGTTTTATACATTTTGCATGATGATAGTTGCCTTGACAAATTTACTGGTGTGTCCTGTCTCCTCCTTCATGAAGTGATGAGACACATATCCATTAGGTTAGCTATGCATGAAGTTACTGCAGTGTCCTTTTACTTTGTTTACTTGTTATATTGTTTAGAACATGGGCATATAAATGATGAAGAGAGCAAACCATCTTGTTGCAGTCCCTTCAACCTCCACCATGCAGTGCCAGGGTCTGTCTGTGTGGAAAGCAAGGTTTGTTTAAAGTGCAGCTGCAATTCTTTTTTAATGCTTCTGCAACAGATCATCATAGGCATACTCAATTTTTAAAAGTAAATCTTTTACCTCAGTAGCCAAATGATTACCTTCTATCGGGATGTGTAAGGCCTTCCCACTGCGTGTTAGTGCTGACTTGGCATTCCTGTGTGTTGTTTTTGCTTCCTTGGCTTCTTGCACTGCCTGTTCCATGATGCATACACTTCATCAGGTCCTGTGGTTAGCGTCGAGGAAATCGAATGGTGTAGATCTTTAGAATTGCAGCAGCTTGGACTCAGAGAAGTATTGCATATCATATATGGCTTGTTCAGCCGTGTTTATTCGATCTGAAAGGTCCCGATATCACAAACAACTTAATGAACTATTCAGTGCGTGCAAAATAACTACATTTCCAAACAGAGTTTAAAGGCAGCAAATTATATTTAGCAAAATCGTATACGTGCATACATTGACTCTTTTCTCAATGGCTTGTAAAACTAACATGCTCTGGTGAATATATCAGTACTTCAAATGTGATTAATTCTTGACAAAATTCTCAGTCTCTGCATGGAAATTATGCCAAGCTTTGAAAATAGACAAGATCCAGTAACTTCATTAAATAACTAATGCTAAGGGATTAAAAAAATCTACTTAAACTTTCAATCCTCTGTGAGTTTGTTTCAAGGTGCATTACAAGCACTACAAACAATAACTAACATTCAGCATCTTGCAACTTGAAATTTCTTCTTTAAGTTCTCAAGAAATTTCCTCAATCAAGTCTTAAATGCAAACTTACTTCTTTGGCAAAACTCCTCTAACTGTCTCTGTAATGTGGGCCCGGTGAAATCTGTCTGTTTAAGCTGTAAAAACTCATAACATTTTAGACAAAACTTTCTGATAGAAAAACATAAACAAGTACATGTATGTCTGACAAGCATGGTATAACTATTTTCCTTAGAAACTACAGAGGGCGCTCTTCAAGTTCTGATCTAGATCACTGAAACACCATACATGTATGTATAATCCCCAGTTCGGTCTAATCCGTGAGCACCTTCAAAGGGTATATTCCTCAAATAGTTAAGTCTTTCTATCGTTTTGAAAAAAAATGGTAATGTATCTGGTTAGGAAATTGGGAACATGTGTTCTAAAGGCGATAAGGACAAATTAATGAGCCAATCTTTTCCAATTGGTTATATTATACTTGGGGCATACTATGGGCTAATAATAAAATAGGGTAATCACTCGTATGCACATATTATAAATGGGAAAGTGAGGGCGCTCTATGGCGGGGTGGGTGGATGCCTCAGGTCTGGGGGGATGACTATGATTGCATGCAGGTCCCAGTTGTATTGCATGTACATGTATGAGCCCAGGAAAGGACAGGGGAGTCCATTTCTACATTTTAAATTTTTGGACAAATATGACTTATGAAAATAATACGCACACATGTTTAAAGCAGATGCTTAAATGTTACACCATTAAGCAAAAGATGAGAACCCTGAGAAAAACATGCAAGGATGACTGCATCAAGCACCCGAAGATGGAACTGCGAACACACAGGCCAGCCCTGCACACTGACTGACCAATACACACACTCTCACACACTACAAACACCCAATTCCATTATCCCTGAAATGCACGATAACGACACCAATCCACATGACCCTCAGAATCATGACAGTGATTACAGGGTATACAGTTGTGTAATTAAACTTGTTTATCTTGCGGAAAATAAATTGCCCAAATAAAATATAATTCAGTATGCATTAATTCATGAAAATCATCCACTAATCAAACCCTTCATAGATCACTAGTTCTACAACACAAAATCACTCTAAAGAACTTGTACTGCTCATCATGCACACACACTGCACATGACCACACTGTGTGTGCCATCAGTGTAAACATGGGTTGCATACCCTTGTGCATTTCGTTGCAGTGCTCCCTAAATTTCACAACAAAAATCTCTTCCAAACTGCTTTGTACTTTCCAAAAATATCATCTTAATAATCTACATTAATTGCCCGACACAATAAAGGGCACATGAGAGATGATCATCTCAGTATTCAGTAAAATTATTGTCTTGAAAAGTGGACAAAGAAAAACAGCACATTTACCTGTAAAGATATATGGCAAGCATTGCCTTGCATGCCTAGCAACCGCATGGGCTGAGAGCTTTGAACAGGTAACATGTAGTTCGTGCAAAGTACAAAATTAACCAAATACAAACTAAGCAACACTATGACTACAATTACTTTATAAAGAAATATCCCTAATCACAATAAACGTAATGGTTCATTAAAATTAAATCTACTGTTCCCTTTTCCTTACTAAGAAATTAACTGAGCTGCCTGCACAAAACCAACATACTTTTGCCGCCTTAATTAAGATCAGTGTAGTCTCTTTTCAAATCAAAGAGTGGATAAGTCTCCACTCACGTCACATTGACTAATTATAGTAGTGGAAGTAAAGTGAAAAGGCTCCCATTCCTTTAAAAAGTGTTTCAATCTTTTTTATTTTAATTCTGCTTTACATTTGCAACTGTAAAAGAGTTCCAAGTGGAGCCAGAAATGCCCAGATTTTCCCAAAAGAGTGGCATTTGTGGCATAGATGGTGTGGTCTTACAGTTGAGGCCGGTCCATGTCACAATGTGAGCAAAGGATCACTAGCGATTGTTGCAGAGTGGGACAGGGGAGTGGTTAACTACTTTCCTTATCGATTATGATTGCCTGGGAATAGGATAGTGCAGCGGTTTACCATTCCCTCCTTATTTATGGTCTGCCTCCATGGTAGCGTAGTAGTTGCCCATAGTGTGGGCAGTGTGGTCTCATCGTCAAAGCTTGTACCCACTTTCCCGGTTTGCCACGCAGACGTGGGCGGGATCACCACCCACAGTCAAGAGGCACGATTGAGGAATTTGCCTAGACCCCAAGTGTCTCAACAACAGCCTCAAGCATTGCCCACAAAGATTCCAACTTTGGAAGAGCTTAAAACCAGCATTCACCAAAGCTAGATTCTTCTCCACATTAGACGCCAAGGCAGGCTACTGGTCCATCCACCTTGACGAGGAATCACAGGCACTTACAATGCTCCGAACGCTGTTCAGGTGATTCAGGAGGCTCCCTTTTTGGCTATGAGGGAGCCAGGACATATTCCAACAGGCCATGGATCACATTGTCAACCAGATACCAGGCTGTGTGAGCATTGCTGATGACATTGCGGTATTTGGGCAGACAGAAGCTGAGCATGATGCAAACCTACTCCGCCTCATGCAGACCGCCGAGTGTGAGAGCTTAGTCTTCAACAGTTCAAAATGCAAGATCATGAGAACAAGATCTTTGGTTCACTATACTCTGCCTCGGGCATCTACCTGGATCCTAAGCGAGTCGAGAACATCCATGCCCTTCCATCCCCACAGGATTAGAAGGACCTGCAGACATTTCTTGGGTTGATGAACTATGTTTCCGCATACATACCACACTTCACAACCAAGGTAGCACCTCTGAGGGATCTACTTTGTAAGGACGTTCCGCACTTGTCGCAGGAAGATCACCTAGCAGCATTCGTCTCCTTCAAAAACGCAATCACCAGTGACTCTTGCTTGCATTACTACAACCCTGAAAAACCAACCACTTTGGAAGTTGATGTGTTGTCTCCTGCATGTCTCCTACAGGAGGACCGCCCAGTTGCTTTTGCCTCAAAGAGTCTCTATCTCACATGCCCAATTCTGCTTATCCAACATCAAACAAGAAACCTTAGCTGTAGTATTCGGTATCACCCACTTTCTTTCCTACCTGTCCGGCACAGATTTCAACATCCACATGGATCGCAAGCCACTGGTGACAATTTGCAACAGACCCCTGACTAGTGCCCCACCACTTCTCCAAAGACTCCTCATCAAGATTCAGGGTTGCAACTTGACCATCACCTACAAACAGGGATTGTCCATGGTACTTGCCAATGCTCTTAGTTACTTGCCCAACCCGTGAAGGGAGACAGCATTCCCCTTGACCTTCATGTAAACGGCATTTATCTCAGTGACCATTCAGTCACTGAGGACATATATCTGGTCCACTTTGGTTGTGGCAAATGTGAAGCACTCCAGCGTTAAACCACACGCGACCCTGTGATGAAGACACTACAACAAATCAGCAACACAGAATGGCCAGACTCGATCAAGGAACTACCTGCCCAACTGTGGTCATATTGGCCATACTGAGATGAACTCGCAGTCTCCAATGGAGTCGCTGTCAAAGGTAGACAGGCACTCGTGCCAGGGAATATGCGAGTCAATATCCCAGCCAGCAACTGCACCTTGGACACCTACATGTAGGCATAAAAAAGATAAGATGCTCTTGCAGAACTCGGTGTACTGGCCAAATTCAACGAGGACATGGCCAAACTAGTCGAGGGATGCCAAGTTTCCAAGAAAGCCTAATCAAGCCACACAAAGAACCACTTGACCTGCATGAAGTCTTGACAATGGACCAAACTTGGGACAGACTTATATGAGCTGGAGGGAGAACACTTCCTTGTTATTATTGACTACCACTTCATATTCCCGATCGTGTTCCACCTGATTAGCACAATTCGTGCATCGGTCACCCAGCATACTGCCTCAACCTTTGGACTACTGGAAACACCGGGAGAAATCGTGTCAGACAATGGCCCACAGGGAGAGCTTACCAGGAGATGTGCAACAACTAGTCTGTCAAGCACACAACGTCAGCACCGCGCTATCTCTGTTCCAAAGGTTTAGCAGAACGAACAGTCAAGTCAAGTCAATGATGACAAATTGCCGTAAAACTGGCCAAGATATCCACCGTGCCCTTCTCAACCTGAGAGCCACACCCATTGACACTTGTTTGCCAGCACCAGCTGAAATCATGTTTGGCTGTCCAATTTGTACAACACTGCCCAGTAACAACACACAACAGCCATCCTCCAAAACCTTCCTATATCTACAGGACGAAACATACAACATGAAGCAACAACATGACAAACATGCAGGACCAATACTCCCACTGCTGTTCACTGGAAAGAGGGTGAGGATCCTCAACCAAGCTGACAATACCTGGATCCCAGGAGAGGTCACAAAAGCCTAGAAGGAACCAAGGTCCTATAAGATTTCTACACGTAATGGTACCATACTCTGCTGCAATCAAGCACATCTGCGTGAAATGCTCAGCCAGTAGCGCGTTCCTGCCTAACCTGCTACAAATGCAAGTCCAGCGAAGTGCATTCAGTTCGATAAGCCACAGAAGTGTGTTCGTTTTGCTGACATGTTGGTTCAGGAAGGCAACTACCACACTGCCCTGCAAGGCGAGTGCAAAAAATGAGAGCCGCATCCTTCTCCTAACTCAGAGCCCAATGTAGCTTGTGATAGGCACGTCCAAGACAACCCCACACCAACACCTGCTGAACCAGATTGTTCGCTATACTGCATTTTGTGGCACTTCTCAATCTAGTGCTACTCCCTAATAAACTTTTCTTGATTGTCACAAAGCTTGTGGTAAGACTGCTTCCTTTTCTAGCACCTTTTCACAGCCTTTCGTTATCATTGTGTATGTGTAGGTGCGTATTGTCTCAATTTTTATTGTAATAAAGCCTATGATTATACTGTTCCTTTTCCTGCCACCTTTCATGGCATTTTGTAATGGCTGTGCATGTGTAGGTGTGCAGCAAAAGACTAGGTTGACAAATACTTCTCACCTCAGTGCAACATTGAATACAAGAGGTTCGCATTCAGAGAAGCAAAGCAGTCTTCTACAAAGACAGTTGGTGATTTCAACACTCGCCTGCAACAACTGGCACAGAAATGCGAGTTCCATGACCGAGACTCTTAGGGAGCTCGGCGGATAGACTGATGCGTGAAAGCCTTTCAAAGGCTGAGCCAAGCTTCAGCCAAGCCT